GTAGCTCGGCAGTCTAAGTACCTGCCTGGTAAGCACAAAGTCCCAAGTTTGATCCCCGACAATGCATGCCATACCAGTCCCAAAACTGGATGTGGTGGTGCATACATGTGGCTGAGACAGGAGAATCACTACGAGTCTGAACTGCATAACAAGACCCAGTACCAAAAGAATAAAAATTTACAAAAGGAGTAACAGTAAAATAAGAATAAAAAATTTAATTGAAAAGAACACTTAGTAAATACTTGGAAAGGAAATCAGATGAAATTTCAAATGATGCTTACCCAATAATTAATGGGTAGAAACTTGGAACTGCACTTTGGATTCTTAAGTTTTTCCGTACTTTGTAGTATTTGGAGTTATTTCACATATGGACATAAGGTGAAAACACACAAAACCCTGGTGTTATGTAGTCTTATAATATCTATATTGAGGTATACAAGCACACAAACTGTATGACTTTATCAATGTTTATATATGATCCAGAGGGTTTATTAAAATTATAACTTGCTGATTTCCATATTCTTAGCTTCTGATTCAGTAAGTCTGAGGTGGGACCTTAGATTTGACTTTCCAACAAATTCCTCCAAATGTTGATACCTGTTATTTAGTTGGGGATCATGCTACCAGAAACCCTGCTAAAGCTTCTGAATAATATTAAAAATTATGTATTGATACACATTGTCTCAGTACCTTCAAAGCAGAAAGAGTAGCTTGGAGAGATTTTACAACCTTGACATCCACTAAATTCTCTTCAAGTTCTCAGCAGCAATAGTGAAGAGAATCTGCATACCTTTTAAAATGAAACTTAAGGAATTAAAGTATACCTGCTATAATAGTACAAGAGCTCCAACTGGGAGTATAGTTGATTAGTCACTGTTAAGTTGGTGGGACACATGCATTTGCTTACTTACATAAGCCCAATAAGCAGGGATCTCATCTCTATGTCATGCAGATTGCATAACATTCCATAATCCATTTAAATTCAGCTTAAGAGAATTTTCAACCATAATGACAGAAACAAAGAAGTATTTCTTTGGTTTCTACATGGATCATACCACCTCCAATAACAACTTAGAAATATAAAATTAAAGAATCAGTGAAAAAATAACATACAAAGATTCTTAATAGCATCATACTGTCAAGTCCTTACAAATACATTGATATAAATAATAGCATAGCACATACAAGCACAATTACCAAAGATAAATAGCAAGTTAAGATATAGTGAGGTTTTTATTAAGTTTGTATGGCTGTTACGATGAATATATCCTGTTCACAAGTTATAGTCCTTTTATCATTAAGTTTTAAAAATCAATATATGGAAAGCATGCAATGGCAAGCTCTTCTTTTGTACATCCTTTAAGACAACATTTATCTGAGTATCCTCTACGTTTCCTTTGAGGATGAGTCCCCCAAAATAAATTGCTTGAAGCTTTAATTTTGTTTGTACTTTTCTTCTGAAATTTCACACTTCCATGAACGTGTGGATCGACATCATGTAATGAAGAAAATTCTCTTGTCTTATGAAGGAGCAAGTTGGTCTTTTTATACTGATACTCAGGCAATGACTGACTCTCCAAACTGTTTATTGCTTCTTCCTGAGAGGCAGAAGTAGAGACTATTGGGAGACACAGAAAAAAAAAAAAAAAAACTACTTTGTTAAAATCTTCCCTTAGGTAGAAGTTTAATATTATAACATTAAAGCCACTTAAATATTAAAGAAGTCATATTTTAAAAATAGAAATTATGCTTATTCAAAAGCAACATATATATATATATATATATATATATATAACTAAAATAATCAGTTTTCCTATAAGATTGAAAACCTTTTAAGTTTTCATAACATTTTCATTGAGATCATTTGTTTACCATAAAATTCACCATTTTGTATTCAAATTAATGATTTTGAAAATATTTACTATGTTGTGCAGTCACCACCACTATCTAATTCCAGAACATTTCTCACCCCACAAAAACCACAGCAGTCATTGTCAACTATAACTCTCCTTTCCCGTTGCATCTTCCCTAGCTCCTGGCAACCACTATTTTTTGTTGTTGTTGTTTCTATGGATGTGTCCATTCTGTATATTTCTTATAAATAGAAGTATATACTATTTGAACTTTAGTGTTTGCTTTCTTTCATTTAGCATGTTTTCTGTGTTCATCTATGTTGTAGCACATGTAATTTGTTTTCTGGCTTAATAATTTTCTATTGTATGGTCATTTCACATGACATTTTCTTTATCCATTTATCAAATGACAGACATTTTAACAGTCTGCACCCTTCAGCTATTACTATTATCACTAATATCCATTTTTATCATATTTATCCTAATGGACATTACAAAGTCCTTAATAAAGTTCAGCCCTACTTACAGTGATAAAAATACTTTGTTGCAAGTTTTCTTACCTTGGTAAAGATTATATGGCATGAACCTACCTATATTATTAAATGTAAATGCATGCATTTAAGACTGGGAACAACATCATTATTGGGAAGTCTTGTTCCCATCGTTACTGGGAACACCATCATTACACATGACTGAGGGACTGAGCCAATTCTCTCTCTCTTTTTTTAAAAGAATGGTCTAAAGTTTATAAGGCAAATGATAAAACTATCACTTTCAAGTAATAAGAAAAACTGATAGAGTCAACAAATTATTAAAACTATGAAAACAGTTCAGTATAGTTTCTGGATCAAAATCTACTTACACAAACCAGCTGTATTTCTCTGTTGAGTTACAAACTAAAAATATGTCATAGGTATTTATAATGGATCAAAATAAAGTGTTAGCCAATTACTTAGAAATTCTAATAGTATATAAAACCACTTCATGATTTCGTTTGGGATGACATTATGGTATAAAGATGTCACTTTTCTTCAAACATGTATCCCATGCATCCCAATTAAAATTCTAAGTGGATTTAAAAAAAAAAAGAAGCACTCTTAGATGTATATAGAAGAATGAAGATTATAGATGAACTTAGCTGATCTTAAGGCAGAAAAAAACATTGAAGACTCACTGTCCCAGAAAAGTAACCAGCTACAGAATCACAGAATGAAAAATAATGTAGCACTGGTACAAGATCAGACAAATAGACAAAATAAATAGAATAGGAAGCTCAATAAACAATAAAGGTGATGACAAAAATCAGTGGGGAAAATGTTTAGTAGAAGGTATTCAAAAAATTAGCTTCACACTTAGAGAATAAAACTTATTGAAAAAACTAAAATAAGATAGTACCCCTACCTAAATCAGAACCAAAAATGGATCTGAGAAAAATGAAGGACATAATATAAAAAATAAGGCTGTAGAGTAGATAGAATGACAGAAAAAGGGCCGTTAGTAATTCATTATTTGGGCCAGCCAAATAACTCAGCGGATTAAAGTCCCTGCAAGCAGGCACAGAGGGCAGGGTGGGAGGGGAGGAAATGATGCTCAAACTCAGAGCAAGTTACAAATAAGGTGCCATTTCATGCATATTATACTGGCAGAAGTTAAAACCTATTGTGTGAGTTGTCAGCATGAGTACATAGGACTTGTGCTAAGAGTACAGACTGATGTAGTTATTCTCAAGAATAACCTAACATGCCTCAAACAACTTAAGCATATGTATATCTCCTGACACAGCAATTGCATGCCTAGATATATTTATGTCACAGAACATTTTTCCCACGAGTCTATAAGGGAGCACATACAGTAAGGTTCGCTATAGTGTTATACATAGTGCAAAATGCTGAAGGCTGTATGGATTAAGTGTTCATCATTGCAAGAATGGGCAAAATGGGGAACGCACATGATACTATGGAGCAATTAGGAGGAATGGATTAAATTTTGACATGACAACAGTAATATACAAATCTTAAGTTCCATTTATATTTTTAAAAATATGCACAAAAAGCAATGCGTAATTTGTACAAGCTTACAAAAAATAATAAACACATTGGAATAATTGCTTAGGAGAGAAAAAGAACAGGAATGAAGAAAAGGGAATAGACAAGGTCTAGTCATCATAGTCTAATATGCTATATAATTTACTTGTATATAATTGTCTTTATTGTTCTGCAAACATCAGGGCAGGAGCCTTCACTGTCAACTCTTGTAATCCAAGCACCAAGAAGAATCTCTAGCACATGACAGGCGCTCAAATTTTGTCTATTTAATATATAAAGATAGGGCCTGGCATGGTCTAGTTGAGATGATACCTAAAAATGAGCAAACAAAAAGCCAAAAATAGGTAAGACTTAGAATAGAACGTAATTAACCTAACTGCAAAAGGGGTTGTAGATTATGAAATGTGGTGCTGAAACATAATGACTTCACAAAACACTAAGATTTAGAAGCAAATACTTATGCACAATTTAGAAATAAGATGTCTGCTTCATGATCTCACCTTCAAGGGTAGGGCTTGGAGACATGGCCTCCAACTTCAGGATTCTCAAACAAGAAGCACAATTGCAGATTCATGTTACATATGACCAGCCCTGATACAAAGCGTTTTTTTAATGTGACTGTATGAAACTATCTTTCTCTGTCAGACACATATAGAACATCAGAAAACTGAAACAATAAACTGTCTGGATTTAATTTTTATTTAGCTTTTGCCATGCCCTGCTGGAAAAAAAATAATTAATTTTTTAGCCACATTATAAATGGCTGAAAATAACTGGCAAAATTGCACATGTTGTATTGGAAACACCTCTGTGCAACTTCTAATTACTGAAGTGACTGGATAAACTAAGGGAGAAGAAGAAGAGAAGGAGAGGAATTAAATCTTTTAATTCAAAGATGTCATCCACCAACTTGCAGCATAAGCATCATCTTTTTAAAAAGGTGGAATTTCAGACCCCACACCAGAATTCTGAGTCAGACCATGTGTATTAACTGGATTCCCAAATGATTTACATACTCTCTAAAGTCTAAGAATCACAAGTAGAATACTTTGAAGAGAGACACTTCCTCACTGTAAGACAAGAACAAGGTGGCTTTATATGTAGGTAGGTGTGATGGTGGAAAACAAAGATACAAGCTCAGTGTGGTGGCAAATGCCTGTAATCCCATCACTTGGGAGACTGAGGCAGGCGGACTACACAAATTCAAGGGGGATATGTAGTGAATTCAAGGCCAGCTTAAATAAGACTCTGACTAGAAAAAGAAGAAAAAAATCAAGATTCATACTGACAGTTTACATCTTTAAGTTTTTGTTACCTTAGTAACAATAATTTGTTAGTTCCAGCCATTAAAAAAATAAGTTAATGAGTGATTACAACATGGCAGGCATTATTTCAGTCACCTACTTAAGCATCTATTTTCAGCATGATAGTTTACTTAGATCTTAATTTCAGAAGTCTTGACTGTAGCAAAATTTGTCCAAATTGAAGTAAATTACTTTAAAAGGTAATAATCATAAATATTATACTGTGGGTAGAATAGTAGAATATAAGCAAAGTATACTTTTTATAAAAATAGCAAACCATATTGGGAGTAAAATGTTTTAGTCACAAAAGTAAAAAATAGGAGAACTGATAGATCAGAAAGGAAAATTCTAAAGTTTTTTTATATTAATTTTATGGAGAAAGAAATAGTAATGAGACAGTTTCAAAACAGGTTAGTAGGACAGTTACAATAATTAATACATTGCCTATTGTTGTCTTCATAGTAGTTATTCATAGTACAAGATGCAGGCATGATATCTTGTCTAAACACTATTAGTTCAAAACTTTCTTCTCATTGAACTAAGAGAAAGTAGCTGTATATCTATGTTAACTATTTTGTATATACAGATGTACATATATATGTGTGTGTGTGTGTATATATATATATATATATATATATTTGTTTAGTTTTGTCAGAGATGGGTATTCCATTGCCATTCAAATATTGTAGGTGCATGAATTCAGCAAGGTAATCCAATATAGTCCAGTAGTATATAATAGTAGTGGATTATCTGTAGGACTGGAAACATCAAAATTTGTTGACTTGAGCCTTTTACAGCTCATCCTATTAATATGGCTTTATTTTTTATACTTCATTTTTATTCTTTTCTGCTGGATGGTTAAGAACAAGATAAAGCAAGACCTATATAATTAAAAATGTAACTTTCGTATATGACAAGGTCAGTCAAATCCCCTCAGGATTTAACCTGAAATTGTTTATAGCAGTTTGTAGATCTTTTGACAGTGTCAGCCATGTGGATGAGTCATGGCCATTGCTTGACTAATTTGCTCTCTGTGAAAGCCTGAGAGACTGTTTTCTCTCCAGGTGATTCTCCTTAGGCACACTCTATATCATTCATCACTTTCCGCTGTGGCCCCATAATCTCCTCAATCAGAAAATTTGGGACACCACTGAGTTACAGGATGTTACAGTACAGATTCTCTTATGTCCTGAGTCCTCACTGACCTTGAAGGGCTATGGCCACAATGTTGACTATCCTTGTAGTCCTTCTTTTTCTCTAATTTTTTGGTCTGCAAACTTAAGTTGTTAACTCTCCAGAAGAGTAGCTTAATGATATCATTACGCTAAAACATAGGCTGTTGTGCTAACATCAGTATCTGCCTGAATATCAAATACCTTAGACATAACATGGTACAAGTACTTTCCATCAATCATTGGTATGCTAAACTTTAAATCCCTGCAGCATGTGAAAAAAAAAATAAATAAAAACATAAAAAATAGTAAAAGAGAAAAAAGAAATAAACAATTACAAAATTTCACACAGAATTTTAGAAATCTAACCATATACAACATTGTAGCAGGACAGTCCTATTACATTTCTAAAGATTGTTGAAATGATTAAGTGTACATTCAATGTATATTAAGCACATATTATGTGCAATGCCTTTTACTAGTCATGTCAGGTAAAAATCTGCACAATCTATCCTCATAAGATAGTGTGATACACATGGTGGCTTTATGTGAGACCTCTGCAGTTGAACCGATGTGCATTTTGTTTTCAATGCTCTATTGAACCAGTCTTGAAATTCTCAGTAACTCTGTCTTTGAACTTGCAAGTGAAGTGTAATTACATGAACTTTACTTTTTAAAATTAAGTTTTCTAGAACTTAGGTATACATAATGATCACATTCATCACTGGTGAATTTGTACCTGTCCAGCATATATCTTACTTCCTCTTTTTCTTTCCATTCTCCTCTCCTCACTTCAAGTGTGGCCTGATAGAATGGCTCATGCTCTTGAACAGAAGAGATATGGACAAGAAAAGATAAAAGCTTTTACATTTTTATACATCCGTCCCCTTTTACTTTTATTTTTGTCTTGCCCTAGGTTGGGTTGAGCTGGTCCTGATGACAGTCAAATAAAACTGCCTGTGCTAGATGAAGAAAGGAAAGTGCAATAATTGACTGAAAAGATCAGTGATGACTTCACAGAGAAAATGTTACCTAAATTGGGCTTTTTAAGGACAGAAACGTTTGCCCACTGACACGAACATTCCACAATAGGAAAACAAGCAAAGGAACCACATTCTTATAAAAATATGCACTTAAATGGGTACACATATTTCCTCTAGGTTTAAGAAAAAAGCTTCATGGAAGTTTCAGCATATCCTCAATATACTTATTTTTAATTATTTTTCTTTATCTAGGTACTAGGCACTAATTCCATATCCTGCAGAAGCTCCTTTATTCGACAGAGCAAATCTGAGAAGAAACGTAGAGATTTTACCTGGGTTTGTCACTTTCCCCCACTCGGGGAAAGGCATGTCAGGTCTGACCTGGGCGGGGCCAGGGGCTTCGGCCTTCGCAGTGGCTTGGGGAGCCCCAGGTGTCCCTTCCTCCAACTGGAACTGGCTCCAGTCGGTATCGCCACAGAGCCGTACTATCTCTTTCAACAGGTTGCTGCCGCACAGCTTCCTGGCTACCCTGAGATCTTGGTTCAGCTCACGTGAGAATCGAACCAACAGTAGCCCAAACCACAGCAGAATTGGAGCGAGGAGCCGCGTCATGGTGCGCCTCCTGCAGGCCAGGGCTGTGCAACGGCTCTGCAACCGCCCCTCCCTCACCCCCACCTCCACCCCCACCCCCGCCCCCGCCCCCTCTCTCTGGGTGGTCCCTCCCCGCCCCGCCCCTTCTCCCGCCCCGCCCCGCCCTCTCTCCCGCGGGCAGCTTCTGAGTCTGCGCACACCGCCAGCGCGTGCGTGGTGTTCACCTGACCAGGGCTTCCGGTCTTTCTCTGGCTCTCCGGAAGTGGTAGGTAGCGGGCTTAACTCTTAAAATTGTAAGACAAAACTGTGTTTTCTCCCTGGGTTGCTTCGTTTTTCTGTTCTGTTTGGAATCCTCCAAATGAAATGTGAGAACACTTGACTTCTGTTACCCAATAATGTTGCCCTGACAGGTGTTGCTGCCTCTCCTCGTCAGGCATTTCCCGCCTTTGAGCCTGCTTGTTAGCGGGGCCTTCCATCTCTTAACTCTCTTTCGTCCCTTCATGCTGGCAGTAGGTCTGTGTGCATGTATTTTTGTGCTTGTTTCACAACACTCTTCCTCAAGTCCCCGGGCTTCACGAAGGCGAGGCCTGTGGTGGTTCTTGCCTTCCATTGTACTCCTCCTTGGGTTTTGTTGAGCAGTTGGCCATGAAATACGTATTGAGTCATTGATGTGTTAGAATATGTGTATGTTATGTTTTAAAGTCAGCTCAGAGCTACATTTGAAAATTGCTACCTGTTCTGCAGGAAAAATAGAGTTAAGGAGGCAGTCCTGAGGGATGGAAGCTTGTCCTCCCCTCCCCACTTGCCAGATCGTCTGTTACCAAATTGTAACTAATTGCTTTTTAAGAGAAAATCGTGAAGTGCAAGTTGAAATGAGGTAGTTTTGCTCAGGTAGGATGACTCAGGGAAGTGAAGCCATCAGTGTGGCCTGCTTAGTTATTTTTAATGAATTATATTTTGTTTTGAAGTATTATGTCTTGAAAATTTGTACAAGGGGGCAATCTTAGAACCAGTCACCTTTAATAAGCCAAAGTATCTCCAAGTGTGTGGGTGCTCACCTCACTACTTCCTATTATAATGTTTTCCTCTTTTCTCTCTTCTGAGTGTATAACTTTTTCTCCATTTTTCATTTCCATAGCTTTGCCCTGCTTCCCAGTGGCATTCATAAATGCTGTTATATTAACTGGTTATCAGATTTTTTGAGAAGTTGAACTAATATAAATTAGAATAATTTTATCCTGTTACCCACAACTAATGACCAGCCTATACTAGGCCATGAGTCCTAGCTGGAACTTAATTGGGGAGGCCCTGTGAGAAGGGAAAACACTTGTACTTACAGGAAGATTTTATTTATTTATTTATTTTTGCGGAACCAGGGATTGAATTTAGGCCCATGCGCTTGCCAGGGAGCACTTATTCCACTAAGCCATCTCCCCGGCCCAGAGGAAGATTTTAAAACTAATTCTCAAGGGACGTGTCAAAACTTGTCAATATGATTTAAACCCCCATTCTGTTTGTGATCTTTGTACCCTCTGCTTTGTATTTCCCCATACCGTACTGTGTATTTTAAGTATTTACTGCCTTCCACTTGCAGGCAGGAATTTTTGTGTTTTATTTGCTTTGGTATCATCTGTGCCTAAACAATGCCTGGCATACAATAGGGTTTTTGTTGTTATTGAGACAGGATCTCAGTGCAGTTCAGACTGGCCTTGAGTTATCTGTGTAACCCAAACTGGCCTCAAAGTCAGGATGATTCTCTTTCCTCAGTCTCTGAATTGCTGGCTTTACAGGTGCAGGCCACCTACCCAGCAATAGGTTCTTAATTTAATGTTAAAAGTTACATTTAATAATATAGCATCAAATAAATGACATGCTGGGCCAGAGAGATAGCTCAGTGGTGTAAGTACCTGCCTGGGAAGTGCGAGATCATAAGTTCGATCCCCGGTACAAAATAAAAAATTTTTAAAAGACATGCTAATAATATTATAATTGTATAATATTTGGTGAATTAATGAATGAACTTTTTGAGAATCTGTTACTTCTTTGTACTATTTCATACTTCTCTCATAATTTTAGGTCTTAACTGTGGTGAATTTTTTAAAAAAATGTCCTTTTTTGTAAAGGACAGATTACTAGTTGTAACTAGTAAGTCTGTTGATAAGGGGAGCCATTTTTGGTTTTTATTTGTTACCTAATGTCTAGGACAGCCTTTATTAACCTTCAGTAAGTATTTGTTGTATGAGTAAACACATTCTTAACCGTTAATATTTGTAGTTAGCAAGATTCAAAGGATTTATTGAAGCAAAGAAATTATTTAAATGAATACAGTTATTGTTGTTACCATTGAATACCTGACTTACTTATTAGTATCCTGTTTTATGTACCTTATTCTGGAACATTGTCATAAAATTGAACTGCCCCATAAACCACATTTGTATATTTATAAGTGACATTTAATTTATGCAAAATAAAATCAGAGGAATTAAGGGTCATGCAAAAACATTGGTTTTTCAAGTTATTTTAATGTTATGTGTTGATAGCTTGATTTAGGCACCAAGATATATATGATTTAATCCTTCACATTTTTGGTTTAGCATTATAAATTATGGGTATAATTTTTTACTTCCAATACTTTACTCTGTAGCTTTCTGTCCACTTTATTGTTGATCATTTACATGATATTTTTCATTTTAATGCTGTATTGTTGGTGCTTATCAAATGGTAGTATATATGTATGCATGTATGTATTTATTTATTTATTGGCACCAGTGATTGAACTCAGGACCTTGAGCTTGTTAGGCAGGCACTCCAGCCTCTGAGCTACCTCCCCTGCCCTAATAATGTATTATGAGAGAATAATAACACATCACTTACTGAGTAACTACAATAGGTCAGGCATGACTTTGAGTGCTTATACGTGTTTTATTTCATTTAATCCTGTAGTAATCATGAAGTAGTTCTATAATTATCCTGATTTTGTAAATGAGGGAATTCAAGCATAGAGTGATTAAGAAGTTCTTCAAGATGGTAGAGTTGGTAAGGGTCAGATGCCTGATTACACAGTCTGTTTCTAAAACCCAAATTAGAGCTAGATGACCATGGACTAAACCTATTGAAACCATTGTGCTAGAGACCACTATAAAATGGCTCTGAGCAGGGTTTAATATTAACCAGTTGAGGGATGACCAGATAGCTCAGCAGATTAAATTGCTTCCTTAGGTAAATACAGGGACGATGGTTTCATCCCCAGCGTGCAATGCTGGCCCCACCCCTGGGGCAGGCACACTGAGACAGGGATTGAGACAGCATGGTGGAACGCCCCTGTAATCCCAGTGCTTGGGAGGCTGAAAACAGGAGACTCACTGTGAATCTGATCTGTGTAGTGAGACCCTGTAGAACCTGTACTAAATACATTATAAAAAACTGATATATATGTGTGTATATCTATCTATATATCTATACATATAGACACACACACATATATATATCAGTTTTTTATAATGTAGCCTATATATATATATAGGCTTTTCATGTTTATGTGTGAATTTGCCTAAGGCTTAGGCCCTGGTCTGGAGGTGGGCTGTGGGCTCATAGTAAGCAAACCTGTGTGAGTCACTGGACCCCACTGAGGCCTGAATTGGCCTATGAAGCT